TGTTAATGGTCTTAATTTACCAATCTAAACAAACAGACTGGCAGACTGGAACAAAAAACAAGATCTAACAATATGCTGCATACAAGAAACACATTTAATGCAAAAAGAAATTCACAGACAGAAAGTCAAAGGATGGAAAACAATATTCCATGTGACAGGAACCCAGAAAAAAGCGGAGGTACCTATTTTCAGAGGTTCTATTTTCAGACAAAGTGAACTTTAAGCCAAGACTGATCAAAAGAGACAAACAGTCACTACATACTTGTTAAGGGAAAACTCCAAGAAGAGATAACAATCATAAATATATATGCACCAAATACCAGTGCACAAAACTATATAAAACAAATATAAATGAACATGAAAAATCAAATAACCACTAAAATGACTGTAATGGGGAACCTTAACACCCCACTGTCACAAATAGATACATCAACCAGATAAAAAGTCAACAAAGAAACATCAGAATTGAACCAAACCTGTGAACAAATGGACTTAGTAGATGTCTACAGTGTTGCACCCCACTATATTAGAACACACATTCTTCTCAGTTCTGCATTGAACACTCTACAAGATAGAAGGCATACTAGCCCATAGAACATGCTAAAGTAAATGCAAAGGAACTGAAATTATGCCATGAATATTATCAAACCATAGTGCAATGAAATTGGAACTCAATAGCAAAAGAAACCACAAAAGTCCATAAACACATGGAAATTAACACCCTACTAAACAACAAATGGGTCACAGATGAAATTAGAGTAGAAAGTAAATAGTATCTATAATTAAATGATAATGCTGATACAACACAACAGAATTTATGAGGCTCAATGAAAGCAATCCTAAAAGGGAAATTTATAGCAATAAATTTTCTTATCAGGAAAACAGGATGAGTTTAAATGAACAACTGAATGTTGAACTCCAAATGTCTAGAAAAAGAAGAACACATCAGGCCCAAACCTTCTACAAGAAACAAAATTATAAAGATCAGAGCATAAATTAATGCAATGGAGACTAAGAAAACAATTCAAAGAATCAATGAATCAAAGAGTTGGTTCTTTGAAAGATTAAAAAAACTATTCAACCTTTAGCCAACCTCAGCAAAAAAAGGAAAGAAAAGACTCATATTGATGCAATTAGGGATGTAAGGGTGAAATCAGAATGAATCCTGCACAAATTCAGATGATTAATACCTACTTTGAGAAACTTTATTCAGATGGAAACTTTACAAAGATGGAAAATGGAGAAGAAATGGACAGATTCCTAGATATATATATATAAATTATCGAAGTTGAATCAAGAAATATAAAATTTCCAAATAGCCCAATATATCAGTGAAATTGAAATGTAATTAATGTAATTAAAACATACCAACAAAAAAAAAAGCCCAGGTCCTGATGGATTCACTGCTGAATTCTAAAAGGAATTTAGAAAATATGTAATGCTATTACTCCTCAAACCTTTTAATGAAATTGAAATGAAAGCAATAATCTAAAGTCATTCAGGGAAGTGAGTATTTTCTTGATGCCAAAACCAGAGAAGGACCCAATTAAAAAAAAGAGCTATAGATCAATCAACCTAATAAACTTAGACACAAAAATCCTCAATAAGATACTGGTAAACAGAACACATCAAATCATCAAGAAGATTATATATCATGACCAAGCAAGATTCATCCCAGGGATGCAGGGATGGTTCAACATATACAAATCACTAAATGTAGAACACCATATTAACAGAGCCAAAGACAAAAATCACATGACCATCTCAATAAATTCAGAAAATGCATTTTACAAAATCCAAAACCCATTCATGATAAAATCCCTGCAGAAAATTAGAAATCTTTGCCTCAGTCTGATAAAAACTATCTATGACAAAAACTGAAAACTTTCACTCTAAAATCAGGTACAAGACAAGGATGTCCACTATCACCACTCTTATTTAATATAGTTCTGCAAACATTTGCAAAAGCAATTAGACAAGAGAAAGAAATAAAGGCAATAAAGATAGGAAAGGAAAAAGTTAAATTATCAATATTTGCAGATGTCTACAGTGTTGCACCCCACTATATTAGAACACACATTCTTCTCAGTTCTGTATTGAACACTCTACAAGATAGACGGCATACTAGCCCATAGAACATGCTAAAGTAAATTCAAAGGAACTGAAATTACGCCATGCATATTATCAAAGCATAGTGCAATGAAATTGCAACTCAATAGCAAAAGAAACCACAAAAGTCCATAAACAGATACTCTACACAGAACACCCCAAAAACTCCTCCAAAAGATTTCTAGATTTAATAACCAAATTCAGTAGTGTAGCTGGATACAAAGAAATACTCAGAAATCAATAACATTACACAAATAACAAACTTACTGGGAGAGAAATTAGGGAAACAATCCCCTTTACAATAGTATCAAAAAAATGAGATACTTAAGACTCAGTCTAACAAAGGAAGTAAATTATCTCTACAATGAAAACTACATTACTCTGAACAAGGAGATTGAAGAGGATATCAGAAAATGGAAAGATATGCTTGCTCATGTAGGAAAAACCAATATAGTGATAAAGGTCACACTTCCAAAATTATTACACAGATTTAAAGCATTCCCAATCAAAATACCATTAGTACACCTCACAGACCTAGAGAAAACAATTCTAAAATGTATTTGGGGCCACAAGAGACCTAGAATAGTAAAAAAAATTCTAGGCAACAAAGGCAAGGCAGAGGGCATCACAATCCCTGACTTGAAATTATACTATAAAACTACTCTGATAAAAACAGCAGCATACTGGCAAAAAAATAAAGACCTTAGGATCAGTGGAACAGATTAAAAGATGCAGATGCAGACACAACTACAAACACACTCAGCTACCTTATCTTTGACAAAACTGGCTTTCCACATGTTGAAGACTAAAACTAGACCTATATCTCTCACCATGCACTGAACTAAAATCAAAATGGATCAAAGACATATCCCCAGCTAAAGCTATAAATATTAAATCAGAAACAGTAAATCTTCTGGAAGAGAGAATAGGTAGAACTCTTGAAGAAATAGGAGTAGGCAAAGACTTCATGAATAAAACCCTAATTACACAGGAAGTATTACGAAGAATCAACAACTGGGATCTCACCTTATTAAAAAGCTTTTGAACACCAAAAGAAATCACCAACCGAGTGAAAAAAAACCCATAGAGTGGGAAAAACTTTTAGCCAGTTATCCTTCAGATAAAGGACATATAAAGAATTGAAAAATATCAGACCACCCAAGTTTAAAGACCCAATCAAAAAATGGACATCTGAATATACAATTCACAGATGAAGAAACACAAACAGCAAATAAACATATGAAAAAATATTCAACACTATTGGTCATTTGAGGGAGGAAAATTAAAATAACATGCAGATTCCATCTCACTCTGAAAAGTTTGGCTATTATCAAGAAATCAACTAATAAGTAACAAATGCTGGTGGCGATGTGGGGGAAAAAGTAATCCTACTCCACTGTTGGTAGGAATTAGATTGGTGCAATTACTGTGGAAATCAGTGTGGCGATTCCTCAGAACCTAGGATTGGAGGTCTCATTTGACCCAGCTATTCCCTTTCTGGGTATCTTCCTGGAAGAATTAAAAACATCATACCACAGCAATATTTATAGCACACCTATATTTATAGCAGCACAGTTTGTAACAGCTAAATATTAGAAACAACCCAAATGCCCACCAACACATGAATGGATAAAAAAAGATGTATTTTTTTATACAATGGAGTACTACTTGGCCATAAAGAAGGATAAACTTGAGGCATTTATAGCTAAATAGATAGACCTTGAAGCTATATTATTAAGTGAAATAAATTGGACAGACATGTGAATATAACATTGTTTCTCTGTGTATCTGAAAGTGTAAATAAGAACCAAAGTGTATAATATATATTGTGAAGTAGGAAGAAATTGTTCAAAAGGAAAGGAGAACTAGGGAGTGGGGATGGGAAAATGAAGGAAGAGAAAAGGAAAAAATGAGAAAAGAAGGATAAAATGGAAACAAAGCTTTGTAAATGAGAGGGGGAAAGGGACTGAAGGGAGGGGAGAGGAATGGGGGGAAAAGAGAAATCAAGATACATCATGGACAGGTATAAATTCTCTATGATGAATGTGATCATTATGTGTATACAAATGTTTCCAATAAACAATAATAATAAAAAAGAACATGTACAGTTATGTGGCTCAATATGCTTATGCTTGCATAATTGTAGTTTATTTCACACCAAGAAGTTATATAGAGAGTTTTATCATTTCAATTTTATTGTGGTAAATGATTTTCTACAGTTTATTGATAGTGCCTTCTCAAATGCTTGAATTTATCACTAGATATTTTGTATTTTTAAGATATAATAAATGCCATCTTTTGAATTTCATTTGTGAATGTTTCATGAATGTGATGTAGGACCAGCTTTTAATATTAATCTTGTACTTAGTCACCACTAAATAAAATTATTACTTCACTAGAAAAAAGAAATTAAGAGGAGCCGTGGAAATTAAGAGATTTTTATGTGCTAATAATTATTTTTATTCCTCAATTTGAGCTATATTTTAAAGCTTTTAGTTGAATTTAGGGCATATTCAGTGCTATTACAGATGAGTTGTGGGAGCACAAAATATTACGCTTGTTTCTTCATTTTATATATTTTCCTTGGAAAGCAAATAAAATACTTTAAAATATTAATTTATAAATCAGTCTAAATTTTGTTGCAATTTTCAGCTAGATAGCTAGTGTGGCACCTATAAGGAGGAAGCACCGTGGTATTTCTCCATTTAAAGTGCTGGTGGTGATGCCCCGAGCAGAAAATGTGCACAGAGTTGCAGAAAATTAGCGGATGCTGCCGCCCACTATGTCCCCGCTAGATCCCACGGGCTACACTCATCTTCAGCGAAGGTTGCTGAACTGTCAACCATACTCACCATAGTAACAGGATATAGGCACCATATCAGATTACCTACCGTATCTGATTCTGTGTTCGCAAATCTTCCCGTATTTTCCACGGTGCTAAAAACTGATTCAGAATAGAGTTCTTTCTCACATATAATTTGTAACGTTTTCAGCATGAATTGGACATTTGAAAAGATATTTGGATACTTGTGATATGACTCTCCAGAAGCAAAAAGTGCTATTGTAAAAAACAAAAAACAAAAAAAAAACATCGTGGGAAGCATTTGATTAATATCTTGCATTGTGTTTCATATGTCTTTTAATTATTACAGCAAAATAAAATTCAGTACTTAGGTTCTGAAACGGTTTTACATTTCACAGTCTAATGAAGATTTATAAAGTTATGTTTGCCCCCTGGTGGGGCAAAAGCAAACTACAAGGTAAATAATTCAGGCATAAGATTTTATATAATTTAGAACAGGCTTGCATAATGGTTGAATGCCCAATTAAATATTGTTACTGAATGCCCAATTAAAATATTGTTACTACCCAAAAATGCTTGGTAGCTTCCAGCTGAAAATTAATCAAGTTATAATAGATACTCTAGTCATAATGGATACTTTGAAATTGCAATTTTACAATCAATGCCATAGCTTCTAACCCAACATGCTCGTTTTATTCCTTCTCAAACTGTTATTATTGATTTCAAAGCACATACTTATAAACGTAGGCAACTTATGTCACAACATAAAACACTGCGATATTTAACAGGACTATCTTCTTTGTGCTCTTTTTATAAACTCTTTGACAATTTTTGAGTTTCATTCCATTCACACAGTGGAAAAATTAGTGATGGCCATTCTTCCACTGGATAGCTCTACAGATGGGCAGCAGCTGCTGATGGTGTTGAATAGAAAACAACTTGTTTCTAGAGATAGAGATGTCCCCTAAAGCTCTACTTACCAAAATTTGATAAAAGAGCAAAGAAGAGTATTTATACTTTAAAAAGAAAGGTATTGGTTTCATTGTGACATGTCTGCAATAACAAACTAATATGAGAACCTGAGGTTTAATTGAAATAATTTTCAAAACCTATCAACCACCACCATCTGAATACTTGATATGCCACTATGCTGAACACTGAGTTCAAAAGATTTATAATTTACTGAAGAAATCAAATGTGTCCATCCTATTAACCAACAGCCTCATCTTGGCTTCATTCTGCTTCAGGACAGGCGGTGTGGTGCGAACAAGGTGCTCTCTAAACCACTTCTGCTCTTACCTTCCATTCTCCCTTCAGTGACTTTTCCCATCAAATATCATCCCCTTCTTTTCTTTTAAATCTCTTTCCCTTATCATACACTAACCACACTAATGTTCTCTTGTTTTAATTTGTTTGTTCACCCAAACTATTTATATGTTTGTATAAATCTTTATAGCTGAACTTTTTGAAATATTTTGCAATCTCAGTTGGGCATCTAAATTTTCCCTTACTGCTTACCTCCAGCCTGAATTTTGCTCCCCGCTCCCCACTAGGGAGGCCCCCAGGTGGACGATGGCGTTCTTACTGCAGAGATCCACCCCACTTCTCAGATCTCCTCCTATCTAACGCTCCTGGAGTTCTTGATAATGTTGATCTTCTTGGCTTTCCTCCTTGGATGTCACTATTTCCTATTACTTCTCTGAATTCTCTATTACTGGGCCCTGCTATTCCAATAACCCATTAAACATTTATGTTCCCGAAGATTCACTTTTGAGAATTAGTTTCTCTTCACCGCACTTCTCACCCTCAGGTTATCTCAGCCATATTAAGATGGATGATTGTAAAATCTATATTGGAGACTTCACTGTTTTCTAAGTTAACTTCAAACTCAATATGTACAACAGTTCTCCAAAATTGACCCTCAGTGTTCAAAACCTGAACTTCCTTCTGAATTCTTCACTCTCCTTCACACAGTGTATAAATCCAATTGGCCACCAAATCTACTCCCTTTTATCTCCTGAATATTTTAAAGCTATTTTACTATATATGATTCCCACTATAATAGTTCACATCGGGGCTGGGGATTTAGCTCAGCAGCACAGCGCCTGCCTGGCAAGCACAAGGTTGTGAGCTCGATTCCCGGTACTGGAAAAAAATAATTGTTCACATCTTTAACTCTCTCCCTTAACAGTCCCTTTTTGTCACTGCATGAATGAGTGTACCTTATGCATGTGCTGAATAGCAAATTGCAAAGCAAACATTTCTTCCTGTGGTTCTCAATCAAAACAGTTTTGCAAAACTTTTTAGGTAGTGGGCTGGGGATTTAGCTCAGCGGCAAAGCGCCTGCTCTGGCAAGCGCAAGGTCGTGAGTTCGGTTCCCGGTACCGGAAAAAAAAAAAAAAAAAAAAAAAAAAAAAAAAAAACTTTTTAGGTAGTGATTTGAAGCACCGAGCTGGTGCACAGCATGTTGCATTTGCCGCCTGCATCCACTTTCTCCTTACTCAGCATCTATACTGCCATTACCTTAGGAATCTGACTTTTTGAAACCTAGTTTGAGGTGAGGAAACTGAATCACAAACACTGTTATACTTTTAGGTAGGTAGTAAAAAGCAGAGCATAGTAACTGGCTAGCGTAGGCTGGAGGAGAGACGAGGGAGAAGTGAAATTTTAGTCAGGAGTGTAACACTTCAGTTAGGCAGGAGGAATAAGCCCTAGTGATCAGCATGGGGGCTATGTTAGCAAAAATATATGCTTTGGAATTGTGAAGAGAATAGATTTTAAATGTTCTCACCACAAAGTAATAACCGGTACACAGGCACAAAAAAACAAAAGCTGAACAAATGCAATCAGGATCAGAAGCTAACACTGCACACCTACTATTATTCATGAGAAATGAAATGCATCTTACGGCCTGCGCTTCTTAAAATGTAACATAACACATTTATAAGTGTAGGAAGAAGGATACTCTACCATATGAGTACGGTTGAAGCCTCAGTAAGTGTTCTTTAAAACTTCTTAGTTGACCATGCAGGAAAAATATAAAAAGCCGTAAGAAGATCAAATAGCCGATCTGTCAAAACAGAGAAGACAAAAGTACTTTTGTGTTGCATCAATGAATATTTAAAAAACACATAGAATACATATTTTTCACTTCCTTCTTACTTTCTTTTCTCCTTTAAGGAACAGTTAATGTTTAATTGCTTGATCAATCTTGCATGCCTCTACCTGGTAATCTGAGCAACTACTCTGCTGAAAACAATATGTAATACAACAACCATTGTTAATTTCCTACCCATCTTTTTTGGAATTCTATATTGTTTTTATTGTTTTTGTGTTGTTTGGTTTTTCTCTTTGTTTTTGTTATTTTGTTTTTGTTCTTTTCTCTTTAAAAGAAAAAATATAGAAAATAAACTGTTTTATTATTACATTTACTTTTGGTAATTTCAAACTCAATATCTTGTGGTTTTGAAATAGCTTTAAAACACTTATATGAAGATTGAAATGTTAGTCAGCAAAAGTAATTCATAAATCAATTGTATATTACATTTCACCAATGCTGAATGTTATTTTGTTCTGCATACTTTTGAACAGTATTTTCAAATTGTAGGTAATGCTCCCCAAAAGCTTCATGAGACCCATGAAGAGGCAATGTTTAAATAAAATTAAAAGGAACAGAAAATATCATGCTATATTTCATAATTCTTTTTTGCCAGTATGTAAATGAATGTTTATTATGTGTGTGCTGGATCATACTGAGAAGAAGAAATGAGTCTCAAAACAGTGTGAAAAACATTATTTTAGAGAGCATTGAGGAATATCACACTGTACTAAGCTCTCCACTCCACTGTAAAGAAATTCATTTTTAGAAAGCACTGTAAAATCTTCTGTGATGTTTAAACCAGCAAAAAATAGCCTGTTTTACATAGATTGCATAAAATGGAATATCTGCAAAAGCATAACACACAAGATTTCACATAAAATTATAATAAGACACATAAACTATACAAATAAATAGAATACAAATTGTGCAATTTGCTAAATCATGGAGAAGAACCAAACACTAGCAATAACTGTCACTATCTAGTGTGTGTTATGTATGTCCATGTGTGAAAAAGAAATCTTAAATTCTCTTAACTGCAATGTAGTAAGGCAGAGCATTATCAGATGTACATATTAAAATAAAGTAGATGAACCTAACCAATTTTCAGTACTTCATCCAACACTATTATGCAAATAAGTGGCAATAAAAGACCTTGAACCCAAGACTGTGCATATTGTTCCAAATGGCATAAAATTTTAATTATATCAGTACTTTAAAATGTTTTATGATGAACCTCTATTATTGAAATAAATCTGAGAATGAACCATCAGTATTCATGAATGTTTCTAGAAATTATAAATGTGCACCATTTGTAGTTTTAGAAAATAAAAAATGAAATGTTTCTAAGGCATGTGCAGTGGGAGTGGGAAAAGGAGGTCTTGACATATACATGATTTCATAACAGCACTGTGCTTTCTTAAGAGACTGAAGTTGAGTGAGAAAGCAGTGAAGATCTACAGACTGTGTAAGAGAATATTATAATATGCTAAGTGAGACCATGATAGACAGCAACATCCATCATTTCAGACAATGAGTGAAAAACTAGGTAGGATAATCTGAAATTTTTGAAGGAATAAGAGATAGATATTGAGAGGAAAATTAATGTTCAAAATGTAATATGGCATAAAAGAGAAACTTCTGCATTATACCCTGAGTCATGAATTTCACCTGATTCACAGGTTATCCATAATTATGTTATGCTTGGAAACATGGCTTTAACATCTTTCACCTTAGTAACTAATTAAATATAGGAAGTGAAAGACCTCTATAACAAAAACTATCATACTCAGAAAACAGCTTGAAGACAGCAGAAAATGAAAAGCTGCAGTCCCTGTTCCTGGATAGAAGGAAATAACATTGTCAAAATGGTCATACCTCCAAAACTGATATATACCCTTAATGCAATACCAATCAAAACATCAAAAGAAGATCTCACACAACCAGAGAAAATTTATGCGGAGCCAGAAATGACTCAGAAAGCAAAAGCAATGTTGGGAAACAAGAGCAAAACAGGAGGCATCACAGTGCTGGATTTAAAGTTATATTACAAAGCTAAGGCAATGAAAAAAAAAAAAAAAAAAAACCAGCATGAAACTGACACAAAAACAGACATGCAGATCAATAGAACAGAATAGAGATACAGAAACAGCAGGCACATTCAGCATCTGAGCTTTGACAAAGCGGCCAAAAACACACACACAGGAAAGACGAACTCTTTAAGAAACGGTGCTGAGAATCTGGGTATCCACATGCAGAAAACTGAATCTAGGCTCTTATCACCTACCATGTACTAAACTGAAATAAAAATGGACCAAAGATCTACATACAGTATTAAAGCAGAAACATTTAATCTGCTGGAAGATAAAATATGTGAAGCTCATGAAATCATAGGCATAATAAGGACTTTCTGAACAGAACCTCCATTTCACAAGAAACAGCATCAAGAGTCAAAACTACAATTATATTAAATTAAAAAGCTTCTGAACCTCAAAAGAAATAATCAACAGAGTGAATAAACAACTTAAACATAGGGGAAATGTTTCTGCCAGCTACCTCCCACACAGGACAACAGAATATATGAAGAACTCCAGAAAATTAAACCCCTAAAATAGAAGATCCAGTCAAGAAACTGGCCACTGAATTGAACAGACTCTTCATAGAAGAAGTACAAATGGCCAATATACGTGAAAAAAAGTCCCGCATTTCTGATTACTAGAAATAAAAACTAAAACAACACAGGGATTCCATCCTACCCCAGAAAGAATGGCCATCATCAAAAAAAAATCAAAGAATAACAAATGCTCCAGGGAAAAAGGTTTGAACCCTTCTACACTGTTGATGGGAATGTAAACTAGTACAACCACTATGGAAATCTATATGGAAAGTCCTCAAAAAACTAAAACTAGAAATTCCCTTTGACCCACCTCTTTCATGCTAGGTATCTTCCCAAAAGAATTAATGACATCAGATTACAGAGACGCACACTCCTACTCACGCTTATGGAAGCACAATTCCTAATAGCTAGTCCTCGAAGTGGTCTATTTACCCATCAACAGATAAATGGGTAAAGAAATTGTGGTGTCATACACAAAGGAGTGCTGCTCTGCCACAAAGAAGGACAAATTTGAGTCATTTGTTTCAAAAGAGACAGACCTTCAGATAATAGTGTCGAGCGAAATAAATCAGACACAAAAGGCTAAATATCAGGTGGTTTCCAATGTTATAAACCCAAAGTATAAACAGCTTAAAGAGCAAACTAAAGATAATAGGAAACAAGGAGCTCAGTCTGCAAATGGGAAAGGAACTGCGATGGAGGGAGGAGAAGGGAGGGAAGTAGAGGTAAGAAGAATTAAGATGTGCTATGCACATGTGCAGCTCCCATGCTGAACGCCATAAAAATGTTAAAATAAATGTATAAAACAGTGCAGACGGAAGTGGGGAAAGCCTTGACAACGATGCCTTTCAAAAAGCTTGCTGTCAAAAAGAAAGGTGTAAAGGGAAGGTTCCAGTGTAGTTTCAGCTACATAATGGCAATCCTACAAAGGCAAGGAAAGTGCTTACCAGTGGAGGTCTTGCTTACTTCCACTAGCCAGTTTATACTAGTTAAAACAATACACAGTAAGCTGTGAAATTAGTGAATCTGAGAACTGGGTGCCTTGTAGCAGCAAGTTATTTCCTCTGCTGTGAAATGCCAGATAATAATAGCACATATGTTGTAGCATTTCAAGAAAATGCAGTAAGTTACTGTTAAGTCTACTATGTCTAAGGGACTTGTCATTTGCAAAGCACACAGAAAGCACTGCTTGTTTGTGACTGCTACAAGAAATGTCTAAGTCACCTAAGCTGATGATGAGAAAGGGACCTGGGGCTGGGGGAGATGGAAGGGAGAGGAAGAGAAAGGGAAGTTTAAAAAGGATCAAGACACAACATTTAAAATACCCCAAGACAAACATACTCACTATGTATCACAAATATATACTAATAAAAATTTTTAAATAACATGACATGTATAACACACAAGCAATGTATAAAATCTTATAGCGATTATTTTTTTAAGACAAGGTCTCACTATGGAGTTCAGGCTGGCCTTGAACTCACTATGTAGCCCAGGCTGGCCTGAGACTTGTAAACTCTCCTGCCTCAGCCTCTCGAGTGCTGGGATTATACGTGTGCACCATCATTCCCCTCTGCTGACTTTTTCTAGCAGAAATACAAAAGTTAAGAAATGGAGGAAGGTCATTAAATGAAATGAGAAGGAGAGGACAGATGAACCAGACCTACTTACGTCTCTCCATTCCATTCTTTTTCAATTATAAACACTCAAATTTATATTTTATATATTTTAGATTTGTACTTATATTTTAACTTTATAATCTCTATGTTTTCCATTATATATATACATACATATATTTATATATCAACAATAGGCAGTTTCCAAAAAGAACAAAAACAAAATCTTTGTAACCTCACAATTCCAAGAAAACTATTGGCAACATTTTAACTCTTTTCCTTCTGTCCTCCCATATAACCTCAGTCTTTCACTTAATCAGTTGCTCCTATGTTTCTATATCTGTTTTTGCCTGGTCTCTATAAATCTTTTCTTCCCAAATATGTTAGAGAGCCTCTCCCCAAAATATCCCAAGGAAGGGATGAGTCATGAATATTCACTCACGCTTTGTTTCTAAGAGTTCATATGCAAAACTAAACAAGAAAAACAATCACAGTGTTACATAATCAATTATACTTGTCTCAAGCCAGGCATGGTGGTGCACGCCTGTAATCCCAGCACTCGGGAGGCTGAGGCAGGAGGATCGTTCAGAGTTCAAGACCAGCCTGGGCTACAAAGTGAGCTCAACGCCACCTGAACTACACAGCGAGACCCTGTCTCAAAAAGACCAAAAAAATAATTTATACTTGTCTCATATATATGCTATACACAAAGTCCTTCTTTACTCTCTTTAAAGTGAAAGTACTAATTAAGCTAAATTTATTATTAGTTAATCTAAATTTAATTGACTAATAAAGTTTCCAACAGTCAATCATGAACATCATACAGTAAAACCACATGATTTCAAAAACCTTATAAAATATGACCTAAGTAAAGAGAGTTCAATAAAGCTCTAATAAGACATAGATGACTGAAACAATTAATTTCAAACAGAGAAGCTATTTAAGGTTACCTGTCAGCAATTTTAAATTTCAAATTAAGTAGCACTAAAATGTCTCAAAATGGAAAAGATAAAACTTACATATATTCCAAAAATTAATAAACACATTGATTTTAATACACATTTTCCTTTTTTTTGTTTTGTTTTGTTTTGTTTTTTGTTTTTTGTTTTTCTTCTGGTACCAGGAATCGAACTCACGACCTTGCGCTTGCCAGGCAGGTGCTGTGCCTCTGAGCCAAATCCCCAGCCCCTAATTAAATATGTTCTAACACAGTTTGTAAAATTATATTTTCTCAGACTATGTCCACTTGAGTATTAGGCAATAATGTTCTGTTCATAACTTAAAGTAAGATTACTAAACCTGAGTTCCATAATAAAAGGAACTCTCTCGTCTTGGGCCTAAAACAGACGTCATGTGGTTACATATAATAGAAATTAATGATTCGAAACATAAAATACTCAAAACATACCTTTGTCAGCTTTATCTCAACAGAATATAAAAACTCCTGCAGGAATGCATCACAGCAGAGCCTGTATAAAACTGATTCCGCAACAAAAAATAAAGCAGGCAGATGATCGTAATCAAAGGAAGCATGGTCCAGAGAAGCATACAGCATACCTAAAGCTTCTGAAGTATTAAAAAATAGAAATTTTTTCATTTTAAAATTTCCCAGTTTTTGTACACCCTATAATTAATTCTTGCAATTAACTATTTTCTCATCAGATGCTGGTTTTAAAATATATCTACAAATTCTTTAGCACCCTTCCCATCAACAGATAAATTCTACCCTCCCTTCCCTAAACTCTAGTTCTTGTGCTTCCTTTAAATGAGAAAATGCAGCAGAAATGCCCTACATGACTTCCAAGGCCAGATCAGAAAACGTAATACAGCTGCCACCAATCGGTTACCTCAACCCCAGCTCTGGAAGCCTCAGGTGCCGTGCAGGAAATCCAACATGAAGCTGGGCTCAGAAACACCGTGCCAGGGACTTGGGGTTCATTTTAAGTGAAATCAGAAGTCACTGGAAATTATTTAAGCTGTCAAATGACCACTGCTAAGTGGACAGTGGGATATAAAATAGTAGCAGAAAGGAATACAGGTCGAAAGCCTATTAGGACATTATTTCAGTGATGGGGACGGTGAGAAGGAATCACGCTGAGGGAATCTTTTGGCAGTCAATGTCTAAATAAATCAAAACACTTTTAGCTCTGTGCAACGTTCGACTGAACAAAAAATATCTTCGAAATGAAATTATTTGTTATTTTACAAGATCAGAACAGGAAAGGGTCCAGGGATGATTAGAAAAAATGCCCACTGTGTGCACCGTCATCGGTGGTTTACACAAGGACACCCTGTGATGGTGACCCAGGCTCCAAGCCTCCTGTTCTTCCCAAGCAATCTAGAGAGGAATAAACAGGGGTATAGAGAGCGAAGAGATGCTTTCTCCCAAACGTATTTTTCGAAGCAAGTTAAAAGTATTCCGAACAGTCCCGGGTTTACATCCCTGTGTACAGGATCAGTCGTGTCTCCCAATCTGCTCACTGGCAGGTTAATGGGAATTACTATAATTAATTTAGGCCAACTGTTCCACCCCTGGGACTGAGCAAGGACCGCTCCTTCTGAATCACATGACTGCCGGAGGCAAGAAAACAAAAATCAACAAAGCACTTGGCTACTAGTCGGTAACAAACCAAAAGTTTTTACCTCAGTGTCATTTATACAATTAAGAGAGGTCGGGCTGTGGGTGGCACAGTGCTAAAGGACCACACAGGCAAGTAAAATACGAAACAGTTCTTACTGCTTCCAGCTGCTAGGGAGTATTACAGTCCCAATTTACATGGGGCAATACTCCCTGACCTTATGTGGTTAAACATTCCGAAACTCATTTTAAAAGGAATGCACATAACATTTAGGATAATGAGAGAAGGAATTCTACCCCCTTAAAAATGATGTTACTTAATTTCTGTTTTAGATTGGTTAGAGGGTGCTTGCAAGGAGACATATAAATGAGAAGGAAAAGGTAATGAGGAAAGTTAGCTGTATAAAATAAGTAAAAAACAAAAGCCAAGGGGCTGGGGATTTAGCTCAGTGGCAAAAGCGCCTGCCTGGCAAGCGCAAGGTCGTGAGTTCGGTTCCCGGTACCAGAAAAAAACCAAAAAAATAAAAACAAAAAAAAACAAAAGCCACTTGATTAATGCTTTATAAGTAAGAATTATAAAATGCAGAAACAAACTTCTCTTAATGTAAAGTACTGATTGTAATTGGAAACCACTAAATGACAGTTTATGCTACTTTTTAATTAGTTGCTAATTTTAGAAAAAAGTAATAAAGACTATAATGAGAAAAAGGTTTTTAAAACAATTTTCATAATTAAAAAGTTGAGCAGTCAAGTTCATAAATTCAAAATTGCCAAAGAAGCTGTTAGAATGAAACGTTATGAGATATTTTGATAGACAAGAACAAATTTTGCTTGTGTGCTGCAAAATTTCTAGAAATTAAGGATCTCAAATTATGTCTTAACTGCTAATCTAGAAAACAGTTTCGATTCCTAAGAAGGGCTCAGAGTACATACCATCTTGGATTTCTCCTTTGCACTGTGCCAAATATATTACTTCAGTCCACGCGAAAGGAAGATGCACATGCTTCCCCAAACCCAAGGAACTGAGACCTAATTTTCTCTGTCATAGGGAAACATGAAAAAGGCAAACCAAGATGTACATCTTTTTATTTGTTGATTTTTATCATCTCTTAATTATATCCTAAAAGTTTTTCTGTGAAGTTGATGCTTTGTAGCCAGAGTTATACACAATTTTATATTATTGCTTTTGTTCTTTGTATTTTTGACATGTTTTTCAAACTGTATCCCTACCACATCTAGAGAATGTTAATATCCTGAGGATCATCACTAGTTATTTGTTAAAAATCAGTCTTACTCTGCCTTCCAATAGTTACTTCTACCTTATTTTCCCAAGAGATGCACCTCTGATTTTATAAAAAAAAAAAAATTACTGCAGAAATAAGTGTGATACAAATTTGCTGTACAACTCTGGCTGCCAACATTGATGGATCAATGCTAATGGAAAGGAGGGAGACAATGGGGACTGCCTCAGCTCCTTTGATGCAGTGTGCAATCCTGAAGCTCCCAGGGAGCATTTAGTCAACTGGAAAGCTTACCGATGAGCATGCCTCCTGGCACCTCTTGCATGCATACTATTTGTTTCATCAAATGTTTTAAGTGGATTATTTCAGAAGAGTAAATATATGAACAACCATTAAATGAAAAATAATAACTACTACCAAAAACACAAAAGAAGGCACTTGCTTTATACTTCCATTTTGTGCAGTTTTTATTTCATGAATTATGCCTACTCATATGAGAAACTAAAAATTATAAATGAAGAAGAAAATAGGAGGTAGATAATAAGATGTAGGGAGATATTTTGTGTTTGAGAAGAGGAATAAGAGAGGGAGGGAGGGTGGGAATAAGAGAGAGAGTATGGGAATAAGTGGGGAGGGTGGGAAGGAAAGGGGACAAAAATAAGAATTGGAAAAAATGGAGACAGCTTATAAGTCAAACTTACAGTGAGTCAAACATCACAGGCAAGGTAAAGGTTTATTTCACTTCTTTTTCTGTTTTATTATGTTTGAAAATCTGGGCATCAGTATCTTACCTTAAAGAAACGTACTTTTCATGTTAAGTGAAGAATAGTTTATAATAGAAAAGAAAAAGAATACAGTCCTTGTATCTATATAGTAAAGGTTTGAAAATGCTTTCTTTACTCTTTCTGTCACATTGTACCTCAGCTAAACTTTTTAAAGAAATGCATAATTTTCATAATCAGAGTTCTGTATGCCAGCCTTTGATGTGTTGCTGTGGGCTCTTGCACTGGTTCTTGAAATGTGGACAGCCACTCTCCCTAATAATTTAGGAGGATTCATCACACAAAAGCCACTGAAAATTTAATTATTTAGTTATAAGCTTTAACTTTAATTTACATTAATACTTCCTTTTGCTTACTTACAATTTCTTTAAAGAGAGGTGTGCCTATAGTATTATTCTTTCCTCCAAAATTTTAGAACATGTAAATCACTCACCAACTATAAACCAAAGTTCACATACCAAGTAATCAAATAATATACTATACCTTACATCTGAGAATGTTTTTTCTTGCTTGTTCCAGCAGTTCTTTCTTCTCTACTGGATTCTGTGTTTGATTAAATTTCAAGATGAACTTTTCTCTGATTAACAATAATGACCTAAATTTAAAAGCATTCATAACAATATTTATCATTTTCAAATTTTAATTATTCAACTTATGGTGGCTAAATATAACAACATTCTAGAAATGGCACTTTGCTTTTCCAATAAGAATATTTCACAAAAAATATCAATAAAATGAAAAATATATGTGTAACTCTCAGGATAAGAAACAAATTCCCACTGTCAAAGGCCTTTATGATCATGGAGAAAAATTTTTATGATGCTTGCCAGAGTCTTTTTTAGTATATGTTTTCTTCATAGGTAAAAATGAAATTAATACAACTGTGGGTGAAGTGAACTGAGCAAGAGAGAAAGGAAGCATGAAGTAAGGCAAGCTAGGTGAAAGACAGTGAGAAGGGAAACTACTGCAGGGTTTTGACAAACTAGATTGCACGATTTAACTTGAGGTTTAATGGGATTGCTCTAACACTATGTTGAGGACTTGAATATGGGGAAATGGGGTTTAACAAGACCAGTAGCCATACATTTGGCTGGGTGGGAAATAATAATGGTTTGTGGCAAAATAACAGCAAAATAAGTAAGGGAAAAGTTTGAGTATCGGCTATGTTTCTACATTATTCAACTAGACTGGCCAATGAATTAGAAATTTATCATGAGAGAAGGGAGTGTTTGGTAGGATGGAACTGCTATTTACTTAAATGAGGAAGACTGCTAGAGAATCAGATTAGGGATAAGTGTAAAGGATAAGTTCCAGTATTGGAAACGCTATGTTAGAGATAACTATGGTCATACAAGTAGAGATGAGAGAGTGGGTAACTGGATATCAGGGGAAAGATTCAGATTAGATATATAAATGTTTAAGTCAACTTCACTTATATGATATTTAAAGCCTAATGAATGAAAAAAGACTCATGGAAAAATGTAAAAAGAGTAAACAATATTTTAAAGAGAAGTGGGAAATCAAGTTTGAAAATATATAAAAGAGAATAAGTACAATGACCATAATCATATACCACAGAATTTAAAATGAGCACAGAATCAAAAGTAACATTAAAAGAATAGTGAAAATAGTAGAATTAGACCAGTGAAATATATTTTTGTGGATGCCCCAAATTATCAGAGTTAGCTATGAGGAGAAAACTAGAAATAAAATGCACTTATTTAGTTAGTTTACTATGTTCTAAAATTACTAAATTAATTCTCTATGGAAAATGAAAAAAGTAAAATATTATGTCTTGCTCCTGAGTAAATAACAGTCCTACTGGGAGTCAGATGTACCCCCCAAAATGACAGTGCTATGTGATGATCATAGGTTGAGCAGAAATAATTATGAAATATTCTGTAAGCTGGAACCAAATAACAATTATAACCAATTCTTTAACTGCTACATAGAAAAGGGTATGTATCCAGTAATTTACTTGGTAAGTATTTACTGGCAGTCTCTTATGTAGAGTAATAATAAATCAAAAGTGAATATAAAAATAATGGAAAATTAACAAAATTGAGTTCGTGTTTTGGAAACCAAAAGCAAAATGGACAGACTCTTAGACTAACCAGAAAAATTCAAATAAAATCAGAAATGAAAAAGGATACATAGAGAATGTCTCTAATATAAAAGCTAAGAGAATATTGTGAAAAAGTATACATCAGCAAATTAAATAATGTGGAAAATAGGTAAATCCCTAGAAATATTACTAATATAAAATTAGTAATTACTAATATAATATTACTAATATAAAATAGGTAAATCTCTAGAAATCTTACTAATATTTCTGTTTGCAAATGATATGATCAAATACAGAGACACCTTTAGAGACAACACCAAAAACATTATTAGGACTAATAAATTTAGTAAAATGAAGCATAAAAAATAAGCATAAAACAGGAGTATTTCTATACAAAAATTGTTAAAATAAATACAGTAAACATACAGGATGAAAAATAACCATACAAGTATCAGTAGACTTCTATACACAACAAACTACCAAAAATGTAAATTAAGAAAAAAAGAGCATTCAAAGTAGCAACCAAAAGAACAAAATAAGCTTAATTAAAGAAGTGAAAGGCTCATACATTAAAAATTATAAAACACTGATAAAAGAAGTTACAGGAGACAAAGACAAATGAATATCCAGTGTCAAGAATTAATGTTAAAATATCAACATTACCCAAAGTCATCAACAGTCCATGCAATCCCTATAAAATAACAATAGCATTCTTCAGAAAAACAGAACAATCCTAAAATTAATATGAATCATAAAGACCTTGAGTAGCCAAAGTGATCTTGATAATCAAGAACAAAGCCATATGTATCAACTTCCACTCTTCAAATATATTACAAAGCTATAATGATTAAGATCACATTATATTGATATCAAGACTAATTAGGACAAAACAGAAAATCCAGAAATGAATCCATGCATCTAAGTAAAGTGATTATATGTCAAGGAAAAAATAACACAGCAAAGGAAAGACAAAATCTTAACTTGGTAAGCTGGATATCCACATGTACAACAGGCAGTAATTAATAGAGTAATAAGAGAACCTGAACATTAGGAGAAAATTTTTGCAAAATATACACTTGGTAGAGTTAATATCCAAAATAAATAAGGAAGTGAAGAACTCAATAGCAAAAAAAAATTAAAAGTGGGCAAAGAACCTAATATATGTTTCTCAAAAGATGTATAAGTGTTCAACAGTACATGTAAAGATCCCAGGCATTAGTAATCATCAGGTAAATACAAATAAAAAATAAATTTATTTTATTTTATTCATATCTGTAAGGAAGGTTATTATCAAAAGACAATACACTAAGTATTATCAATGAGAAAAGAAAACCTTTGTATACTATTGATGGGACTCTAAATTGGTACAGCCAGTATAAAAAATCAGTATGGAGGGCCAGGGACATAGCTCAGTGGCACAGCGCCTGCCTGGCAAGCTTAAGGTCCTGAGTTCAATTACTGGTACAAAAAAAAAAAAAAAAAACTAATGTGGAGATTCCTAAAACAAAGAAATAAAAAGTAAACATAGAGTTATGATCCAATCCTAATTCTTGGTATATTTCTAAATGAAATGAAGTCTGTATTAAGAAGAGATACCTAAATTGCCATGATTGTTGATGCATTATTCACAATAGTCAAAATATGCTAGTAATCTAATTGCCTATCATATATCTTAGTCTTTTTTAAAAAAGAAAAGAAAAGAAATTCTGACACTTGCAACAACACGGATGAATCTGAAGGTCCTAATGCTAAACTAAGATAAAGAGAAAGAAATACTGCATGCTCTCATTTTTATATGAAATCTAAAACAGGATCAGGGATGTAACTCAGCAGCATAGTGCCTGCCTGGTAAACATGAGGTAGTGAGTTCAATTCCCAGTCCCCCCACCCAAAAAAAAGAGAGAGAGAAAAAAGAAATCTAAAATAGTCAAACTCATAAAAATAGAGTAGCATGGAAATTGCCAGGAGCTGGGGATTGGGGAGAGGAGATACTAGTCAAAGGGGACCAAGTTTCTGTTATGCAAGATAAACAAGCTCTGGAGATACAATATAATATATAAATATAGTAAATATAGTTGAAAATACTGTGTTATATACTTCAGTTTTGCTAGTAAGGTAGATTTTAAAAGTTTTCATCATATTTTTCAAAATAGGTAACTATGAGTTGATACACATGATGTTAGTTACCTTTTCTCATTGCTGAAACAAAATAACTAATACCCAAAGGTAAAGGAGGAAAAGTTTATTTCAGTTCACAGTTAGTAAAGATTTCAGTCTAGAGTCAGTTGACTCCAAGGCAGGGAGGTGTGGTAGAGGGGAATTGCAAGGGAGAAACAATTCATGGCAAAGCAAGGCAGGCAGAAGGAGGCAAGCAAGCGAAGTAAAGAAGAAGCAACCAACAAACTACAAGTAAATGCTGAAACCCTCTTTCTGCCCTTATACGGAATCCAGGCTACCCACCTTTAGCATAGACAGCACTTACAGCCATAACCCCAGCATTTCACCATGAATCAGTCACACACTGCATCCAGCCACCTACAAAAAAGCCCCACCTATGACCACATGGAGCTTTGGAGGACATCTAAACACAAGCCATAACATTCCACCTCTGGCCTCCAAAGACTCATGCACATCACTTTATATACAAGATATTTACTCTATCTCCAAGAGTTGCCACACTCTGAACAGATTCAGTATTGCTGAAAAATCCAAGTCCAAAGAGTCCTCTGCTATTTAAGGCAAAATCTTAGCTGTGGGCCCCTATAAAAATGAAAAAAAGTTAAACATATCTAACACTCAGTAGCACAAGATAGATATTTCCATTCCAAAGGTACATAGGGGGATAAAAAAGAAAAGGACATAGCAAGTCCAAAACCAGCAGGGCAAACATTAAGTCCTGTAGTTCCATGCTCAGCATCTGAGGCAATCTGTGGAAAGATGTGAACTCCAAAGGACTCCACTTCTATGGCACTGCTGGTGTTTATAGCTCTCAGGCCTTCTATTTTGGGCCAACTCTGCTCCTTTCTTGAAGTTTTCCTCAGATGATCCACATTCCTGGCTTCTCCAAATTTCCGGGGTCTCCACAACACCTTTGGCTTCACACTCATAGCTTTACACACTGCCCTCTTAGGGGCACACTGTCTGGCCTCCCAGGCCTTCTTCTGAAACCTGGGTGGAAGCTTTCCTAACCTCAGTCTTGCATTTTACTCTTGCATTCTGCATGCATCTAAAACCAGCACCACATGGATCACTCTCAGGCCTGCCACCAGCTGGAGCAGTATCCAGGCTTCTTTCTTTGTTGGTTGTAGGGGTCAAGTGCTGTGAACCAAGTCCCAAGGAACAATTTCCCTGGTATGCCACTAGAACATGGATGGAGTCCTGCTGGTTCTTGTGATATCTTCAGGCCATCTTTTCTAGTGTACTGTTCCTTCCCAGCAATCAAGATCTTTCCTCTATCTTTGTAGTCTACAGCTTTAATAGTGCTTCCCTTCTGGCCAAACTCAAAATGTTTTAAATCACTCTACTGAGCT